TCCAGCTCTTCTCACAGAGGTTCTTACTTGTAGGACAAGGACTGATGAGGCCTCCGAAGGAATCAAAAACATGTGCCTCAGGGACCAGACCAGGGCAGGAAGTGGAGTTCAAGATTCTTTGCTTGTTAATACATGGTTTTAGCTACAGGAAAATGTACATGTGCAGCTTGATGTATTTTCATGAAATGAACACAGTAGTGAAAAAGGCACCAGATGAAGAAACAGAAAAACACCTGCGCCCCAGGAGTCCCCCTGTGCTCCCTCCCAGTCTCTGATCCGCCAAATGACCAGTAGTCTGGCTTCCAGCATATCTAATTCATTTTGCCTGTTTCAGACTTAACGCAAATGGAATTATACAGCAGGGACTCCTTGAGTCTGGCTTCCTTCACTCAACATTATGTTTGTGAGCTCCATCCATCAATGCAGGTAAAAATGAAAAAGGACTGTCACTCATGTTCAATGTTGCATAGTAAGGACTTGATGAGGAAAGGCCTGAGTGGAGGCTAGGGCGCTCACGGATAACGGAGGGAACATCGAGCACAGCTCTGTCCAAAATAAGAACGACAGCCTCCTTCCCCTGCTGTCCTGGCCTCAGAGTCCCACACCTGTCTCCTGGGGGCTCTACCTGGGGGAGACAGGACCAAATTCACTTCCAAGGGCAGCAGCTCTTGTTCACTGAACACTTACCCTGTGCCCGGCTCTGTGAGGAGCACCACAGACTCAGCAACTCATTTAATCCCCACAACTGTGCGGTGGGTACCATCATTATTCCCATGATACGTGTAAGAAAACTAAGGCCTAGAGCGATTAAGTCATCCTATGGTTGCACAGCTAGGAAGAGGACCCCAGCCCCAGTCTGCGGGGCCCCTAAGGCCAAACCTCTCCACCATTCTGTGCTGACAGGGAGCCAGCCAGCTGCATCTGGCCCCACCGCCGTCTCCAACCTCATCCGGCACGGCTTGCCCACAGCTCCCATTTGGAGGCCACACTGGCCTCCTGCCAGCAGCTCAGACCCCAGGACCTTCCCCATCTCTGGGCTTATATCCATGCTGTTGTCAGTACCTGCACATAAACCCCTCAGTTCTCAAATTCAGAGTCTCTTCCTCAGAACAGCCTTCACTGACTGCCCAGTCTAACCTATGGCCCCTATTCCCTTTTAGCACCCTGCTGTCTCCATTCACAGCCCTTAAGGCATGCTACAGTGACAGTGACGCATCCTTTCCTGCTCCCTTTCCTGCTCACTGGTTTAGTGCCTTTCTCTGCCAATGGAGCATGAGCTGCAAGAGTTCGAGAATATCCCTGTGCACTTACCACTTCTTGGGCAGTGGCTGGTGCACAACAGAACATTAAGTGAAGAAGAGAAGGGGAGGAGAGAAAGGTAGGACTGTCCCTTCAGAAGCTGAGCTGTCGATCCTGACTTCCGCCAAGATGGAGGCATAGGTGGATGTGCCGTGCCTTCTCACACAACCAAGTTTAGGGACAACTAAATATTAACAACAGAAAACACAGCCAGAACACAGAAAATTGAACTTTTCGGAAGTCTGTTAACAACAAATTCTTCAGCCTGACCGGTAAGGGGTGAAACCAGTGGCTGGTGAAGCGGGGTTGCACAGGAGGACCCAGTCAGACGGACTCAGGCGCGCAGAATCCAGACGCGCAGAATCCAGGCGCAGGGTTGGACCTAGTGAGCGAACGAGTGAGCGAACGAGCGAGCGACCGTGGGGAAACAGCAGGGGAGCAGGGCTGCGTGTTGACTGTGGTTGCCCATTTGTGCGCGGATAGACAAGCGAGGGAATGGGCGGTTGGACCAGAACCCAGCGGGTCAGCAAGCGGCAGGGAGGGCGCCGCCATTTCCCCGCTCTGACCACGCCCCCACATACAGCGTCACAACCCAGCGACTTGGGAGTCCAGGGCGCCGCTTCTCACACTTAAAGGGCACGAACAGACCAAAAATGGCTCAAGAAGATCTCAAAGCCCCAGAGCCTATAAATCTAAGTGATGAAGAAATAGCAAAACTCTCAGACGCACAGTTTAAAACATTGGTCATCAGGATCCTCACAGAACTGGTTGATTATAGCCACAAATTAGAGAAACATATGAAGGCGAAACTAATTGAAATGAATGGAATTGCACAGGAAACCAATAGTGATGAAAAGGAAACTGGGACTCAAATCAATGGAGTGGACCAGAAGAAAGCAAATAATGGCCAAACAAAAAAGAGTCAAGAAGCAAGAATTCAAAAAAATGAGGAGAGTCTTAGGAACCTCCAGGACATCTTTAAACGCTCCAACATCTGAATTATAGGGGTACCAGAAGGGGGAAAGGCACAGCCACCAGTGGAAAACTTATTTGAACAAATAATAAAGGAGAATTTCCCCAGTCTGGCAAAGGAAATAGACTTCCAGGAAATCCAGGAAGCTCAGAGAGTCCCAAAGAAGTTGGACCCAAGAAGGAACACACCAAGGCACATCATAATTACATTAGCCAAGATTAAAATAAAGGAGAGAATCCTAGAAGCAGCAAGAGCTAAGGGGACAGTCACCTACAAAGGAGTCCCCATCAGAATGTCAGCAGATTTCTCAAAAGAGACCTTACAGGCAAGAAGGGGCTGGAAAGAGGTATTCCAAGTCATGAAATCCAAAGACCTACAACCAAGATTGCTCTATCCAGCAAAGCTTTCATTTAGAATGGAAGGACAGATAAAGTGCTTCTCAGATAAGATCAAATTCAAGGAGTTCATCATCACCAAGCCCTTATTATATGAAATGTTAAGGGGATTTATCTAGGAAAAAGAAGTTAAAGAAACATGAACAGTGAAAGGACAACAAACTCACAGTTATTAACACACACCTAAAACAAAAGCAAACTAAAAGGACAGCTAGATCAGGAGTGGAAACATAGAAATGAAGATCTCAAGGAGGGTTAGCAACAGGGGAGTGAGAGGAGGAGAAGGGGGGAGAAGGTACAGAAAATAAGTAGCATAGACAGTAGATAGAAAATAGATGGGGGGCAAGAATAGCATGGGAAATATAGAATCTAAAGGACCTGAGACACATGGTCATAAACTAAAGGGGGGGTAATGGTGGTGATGGGGGGGTAGGGTGGAGGGGAATGAAGGGGGGGAATAGAACAACTGTAACAGCATAATCAATAAAAAAATTAAAAAAAAAGAAAAGAAGCTGAGCTGTCACCTGGAGGCAGCTCTACTTCCAGCCTGGTCATGGCCCCAGGCAAGACTTTCCCCTCTGTGAGCCTCAGTTTCTTCAACTATCAGAGGAAGGGCCTGTTAGAAGGGACCCCTACTGGCTTTCCAGCTCATCTGACCTCTAGACCACAAGTCCTAGCATGTCAAGCCATTCCAAAGGCCTCTCCTGCCTCTGACCCCCTCCTTGTCTGGTTAGCACTTTAGAAAAGTAGGTGAAGTCCTTTCAGGGCCCCCAGCCTGTGAGACACGTGGGGCTTCACGCCCTGTTACAGGGAAGATCAGAAAACGTGAGACCTCTTCTAGTTCTCATAGCTCCGATGCAGTGCGTGGGGAAAGACAGGACTGGGAAGGACGAATAGATGAATTCCCCCAGGAAACTGCTTGTATTTCCTTCTTTGGAGCCTCCCACCTCCACCGCTCAGTTCCCAGTTCTGGCACCAGTCTCATCCCTGTTGTGTGAGCAGCTGCCCACACCCCCAGCTGGAGTCCCAGGAAGGCAGAGGCGGCCTGTGTTCTCCTCATCTTCGTCCCCACAGCACTTAGCACTGAGCCCTACACGCAGGGTGTGACCAAGGTGAGGCCTCCGAAGCAAATGCCACTGGCAGCATCTGCTGTTGAGGATGCCACTTTCTCCCGGGTGTCACCAAGGTGAGAAGAAGCACCCGAGGCAAAAAGAACCTAGCCTCCCTTTCAGAGGCAGACTCCAACTGGCCACCCCCAGATTTTGGGCCTCTGTCCTCCTTTGTACCCCCTTTCACTGGGCCCTGGATGGCCTAGGTGAGCCCACTCACCCCGCTCTGGGGTCTCTGCATGTCACTTTCTCCCCTCAACACCCAGCCGTCCAGTCACCCAGGACAAGTGCTGCCTGAACTTGAAGTGCCAGCGCCTCCCATTCTTCTCAGAGTCTGGCTGTGGCTTGGAAGCTCTTTCTGTTTTGTCTTTTAAAATTAAAGAAAGTAAAGAATTAGTCCTGCCCCAAGAGCTCAATGAAGAGGAAGGGCCTCCTGTTAACTCAGATCCTAGGAAGCTTCATGACTATGCTGGTTCGTGTGGCTTGTTACTCAATGCAAATCCACTTTGAGGAGGATTACTTCACCTCCCATGCAGGCTCTGAGCTTATGAAACAAAATCCTGGGAGCTGTGGGGAATGCCAAGTGGAACTCGGAGAAGAAAACTGATAGGTCAGGTCTCCATGCAAAGCCTGGGGAGGGCTTTGGGAGAACAGTAACAGATAAACCGAGAATCAGTTAGATTCGACATAACTCTTAGCCAGAATGTACTCAAAACACAGAACTTGACAATTCTAGCCCCTTTGGCTGGAGGCTTTATTTTCAGAGAGATGACGATTTGCAGAGCTGCCCGTAAAGCTGAATAAACCTCAGGATTACTGAATGCTATTAGAGGGGAGGTAACAAAGGTGAAAGAATTAAACAAAGTCAAAAAACAAAAACAAAAAACTCATAGACACAGACCACAGTACGGTGATTACCAGAGGAAAGGCTGGGTGAGGGGAGGTAGAAGAGGGTAAAGGGGGGATAAATGGTGATGGAGGGAGACTTGACTTTAGGTGGTGAACACACAACATACGGATGATGTATTACAGAATTGCACACTTGAAATCTGTATAGTTTTGTTAACCAATGCCACCCCCAAAAATTCAATAAAAAGTAAATAAACCTCAGGATTGTTTTTAAAGCTTTCCACGAATCCCGTGGCAAGATCGACTGCAAGTGCACCCACAGAAGTGCATCCTTGGCTCCACCTCGCATCCCCTTCGCCGCTCACAGCCTCTTACCTCCCCAGTTCCTCTCCAATGTCGTAAAAGTCCTCCACCTTCTGCTGCTTGAAGGTCTCCATGTTTGGGCTCCTCATTGAGGCCTGGCACACACAGCCATGAACCTGAGATCGGGAGAGATGTATAAATTGACACAAGCCTGAGAGTTTGAGCCTAAAAGTAATCAGCTGCAAGAGAGCTAATAATTCAGCAACAATCTGCAGCCCTCGTTCCTCAAGAACTGGTCTGCTCAAGCCTTTCCCGTGACCGACACTGGATGGCTGATTTGATTCAGAGGAAGGAGACAGAAAAGAGCCCTCCTCACTTATCTGGATCTGCTCTGACCAAGTTCAGAGGAACAGCCATGCCAACCAACTTCAGTGACTTGTTCTCAGGAAGTTCGGGTTGACTGAGGGAAGAGGCAGTCGTGATGCAGGAGAAAGAGCACTCATTTCTGAGTCAAAATATGTAGGTTCAAGTCCAAGTTTTGCTTGGGCAAGTCATTTAAACACCAAGAGACTTAGCTTCCCCATCTGTAAAAGGGGGCTAATACTGTAAAAACCAATGACAAATCATGAAATCATTTTGTAAACTGTAAAATGCAGTCGAAAGGTAAGGGATTTTCATGACCTCAGCTCCCTCGGGGGCTGCGCCACCTGAACTCAGGTCTGAACTAATTTGTAAAGTCTCTTACTCATCACCCCAAGAGTAAGATGGGCGGGAGCGGTGTGACCGATTACAACAGGCATCGGGAGGCAGGAGCCTCAGGTTCTAGTTCCAGCTTTGCCCCCAGCAGGCTCTGGGGACAAAGAGGAGCGTCAGTTTCCTCATCTGTCAAATGGAGCTAACTCTGCCTGCCCAGGGCACCCAACAGAGAGCTGGGCCGTGAGGACTGCTCACTCCTCTCCTCCATCAGAAGAGACTGTTTGCATCTTGCCCTGGGATCCCCCTTCCCCAAGAAGCGCTCCCATTCCTGGAACGGCTGCATGCCTCCCTCAACGGCACCCCAAGGGCAGGGCCCAGGACACAGTCTGCAAGTCACAAAGATAAACCAGCTGCCTGTGGAAGTGTCTTTCAGGAGTCATTATCACAGGCCTCTCAGAGCTCATTTCAGCTAAGCGTTGGCAGCTCTTCTTCTGCCTGTCAATCAGACACCAGCCATACCCGGACCCCATGAACCCCAGATGCTGTTTACATCAGTCTGGGTGGAGGCACCATCACATAAGGGTGTGTCTCATCCACACCAAGTGGCTGGAGCTGTTCTAACTCTCAGGCGGTGTGTACATTTTACCCTCTTTCCTCCATTTCTGTCCCCTGCAAACTAGAGCTCTGGTACCAAGATGCTGCCCGCCTCCCTCCCTTCCACGAAGGCACACACACCCCTGAAGACTTCCAGACCGAGCTGGCCAGGCAGCCAGGCCTTACTCTCAGGGTCGCCTGCCGAGCCCCTGCCTGTGGGCACTCGAGGTCCATCACACACCCTCCTCCCTGCTTGGTCTTCACCCTGTGCTCCACCCTGGGGCCAGGGCCCAGCGAGGAGGGGACACTGCAAAGAGCAGGCTCTGAGAGCCCCAGTTATAGGCTAGGCTGGCTGTCTATTGGCCGTGTGACTCACAGCAGGTTGGCACCCTCTCTGAGTCTCAGTTCCCCGCACCTGTACACAGGAGTGACAATGTCAATATCACCTACTTCACATGCCATGACATGGCACAAACCGCTGGGCAAAAAACAGGGAGATTGTTACTGTCATTGTTTGACTCATCCCAGACTACCATTTGCATTTCTGCTTCCCACAGCCATTCAGACAGCCAATGCCGTTCCTTTCTGAGGAAAGGTCTGGGGGTCCTCCTAGCAAATCTGGCTTGACCAGACTCAGAGGCTCAACCCATGTTCACCCCTCACCTCCGTCTTGGCAAGTCTCCTGAGGTGAGCCCATGAGGCAGTAGGACTGCTACCTACCATCTTCTTTGTGCTGAAAAAAGTCCTTCCAAATAGACTATTTGGGTCAGGTCCTTGGGGGTGGGGTGGGGGTTACAAATTAGTAAGGTTACTAATGACACACAGCTAGATGGAAGCAGAAAACCCCCAAAAATTCTGTTGGCAGATACCCTGAGAGTGGTCCCTGCAGCAGCTGAGAGCTGCCATTGGCTGGAGGCCAGGGCTGTTAGCTATCGGGGCTGCGCTGGATTCACAGCAGCCCCAGCTCCACAGTAAGGGGACAAGCCCCATCCTCGGGGTCCCCGTCCCGGCTGGCTGGGCTGAGGGCCGGGGAGTCCCCAGGGACAAACTAGTCCCCCCAGTTTGGCCCTTCCTGACCTCGGTCTCCTCCCCCCCCACACACCCCATATTACAGTTAAAGAAGACCTTCCCATCCTCCCAGAACGCTCACCCCCGCCATGCCTCTGCCCTGCCTGGGCCCTGTCCAGGGGAGGCCTATCCAGAAACTCCTTCTCAAGGCACAAATGCTACCATATCCGTGAGGCTCCGTGACCCCTTTTCTTGCCAAAACGGATTAAAATTCTGCTCCTTTTTAAATTCCCAGAGAGAGCTCTTCGTACATTTTTAGGGTGAGAGCTTATCATGTTCTGGCCCATCATAATCTATGTCTATGTCTAACCCAGAGGGATGGAGCACAGATGCCACAGTCACATGGGCCTGGATTCAAATCCCAGCTCTGCCACTTACTAGCACACACTTAGCACAGGACAACTTTGCTGAGCTTCAAATTATGCACGTGGAGAATGAGTCTAGACAAGGCCTGGTGCTGGTTAGTGCGTGGAGCAACCAGGGTTCTTAAACGCTGGGCCACTTTGGAAAACCTCTGGGCGGTTTCGATGGACACACCGAAGAGAAACGCAGGCGGATGTTTTCCAAACGATCCACACTGGAATGCTCACAGCAGCACCGTGAACTAGAAACTGGAAACAACCAAATGGCCAGCAATAGAAGAACAGATAAACAGAGGTGTACCCATACTGTGGACAGAATATACACACAGTGAGAATAAACTACTGCTCTCTGCAACTACATGTGTGTAACTCACAAACATAATGTGGAACGAGAGGAGCCAGACACAAAAGCCTTCACCCGGGCAAAGCCGCTCTGTGGTGCTGCAGCCGGTGCTGCCCCGGGTGAGGGATTTGCCTAGAAGGAAACCCACGGAGGTGTCTGGGTGCTGACATCGCTGTTTCTGGATCTGGGTGGTGGTTGCCTGGGTTGATAGGATATATACTTATTTTGTCTGCAGTTTTAGATAATAAAAAATGAGTCTAATATCCACCTTATAGGACAAATGAGGTAACATATGTAAAATGTTTTAAATACTGCTTGGATAGTCCCCAAAATGTGAGTTGCTTACTCCTGCCTATTGTCTTGGAGACCCATGAGGGCAGGGGTTGTAACGTTCTCACCTCTGTCCCCTCATGGTAGCTGGCAGACAGCAGGCACTCTGTAAATCATGATACCCCGTCATGTAAAAACAGCTGATGACAACTTAAAGCCCTTGCCTTACATCTCTCCCCAAGATGAATTTGCATGCTACCAGTTTAGCAACATGAAAATAAAGGGGAGAAACTCTGAGGTGGAATGACAGTCACCAGTTAGGACCCAGAGGCACAGGCACTTTTCTGGCCCTGAAAAGACAAAACCACATGGCAGAGGGGAAGGACACAGCGGCAGCTCTTGGCCAGAGGTGCAGGCCATCAGCTGCAGACATTCCAAGGATGAGGCCCTTCTTCATGCCCACGTTTCTTTTCATGCAACCTCTAGAATTCACATTCCTGCCCCCGCCCCCAACACTAGGCAACAATTCTGAGGGTTAGTACAGATTTCCTAGAACCTCACAGAAAAGGGCATCAAAGGTCATCTGGGGATTTTTAGACCCTGCTTCAAAAGCCACCAGTGTGAGGAAGGGGAGCCAACGCAGTTCCACTTCAGCCATATTACATGCCGGGTTTCCATGTAAGAATTTATGGGGGGGGGGGGTGTGTGGAAACCACTGCTGTCTAGTCTAAGCCACTCGTTTTACAAAAGGAGGAAATTGAGGTCCAGACAGGGGAAGGGATCACTAAAAGTCACACTGCTGGCCCACTCCAGCTGCTCTTCCCAGGCTTCTGTTGACAGCACCTCCGAGGGTGGCACCGGGGTTGGGAAAGTCAGTGGCCCCTGAGGGACAGCCTAGGAGGAGGCCTCTAGAGCTGGAGGATCGCCCCACAGGAGACCCTCTCAACCCTTTGCAGCTGGCTTCCCCGCTGGCCCTAGCTCACTCTGCTGAACTCTCGGAGATGCTCACTCCCCTCACTCCCCCAGTGCAAGTCAGTGAAATGGGATGCTGCAAGGGGGCGGGCGTGATTATTCCCTTACACTGCCCATCCTCCTCCTGCTGTCAGGACCCATCATATTCAGGCTTCTGACAATAGAAGGGAGGGGGCTTTAGCACTACAGGGCCCTTCCAGGCACCCAAGTCTTTGATCTGCCCCAGTCTCTGAGAAGGAAGCCAGGGCTCAAAGAAGATGAGCCACTTGCCAGGCTGACATGTCCTTCTGATGAAGGTTCAGCTCCGCTGGGCAGCCCTGTTTGTTCACCCCCACATCTAACAACTAGGGAGGTGGTCAGGGTCAGTCCAAGCCTCACTTCTGCCCATTGGAAACTTGCCCCAGCACAGCGCAGCCCCCACAGCCACACCCACTTGTGCCCCCTGCCCAAGCCTCTCCCAGATCTATTGGGTTATCACTGGGGCCACCTTAGTGCTAAAAACACTTCCCGAGAGATGGGTGCTTTGGGAAGAACAGGACTCTGACAGTATTGCTGAATGGGCCAAGGCAAGGGCACCCTTCAATCACCAGGTTTCTCCCAGGAACACCTCCCACAGGGGCTAACAGGAAACACGTGTCAGAAATTGCAGCAGCAGCAGCCCCCAGTGGCCTCCACTGGATACTAGGGTACAAGGTGCCAGAGACTGTGCACACTCCCCCTGCTCACAGGGGTCTTCGCACCTGCCCCAGCATCCTCTCTTCCAGTGTACACCCCTAATCTACCACTACCTATGTGGCCTGCAAGCTCACTCCTCCTAAAGTGAGAATACTAATTTCCACCTTGCAGAGTTATGGTGAGGAATGGCCAGGTGCACACATGCCCTGAGACACCCACAATGCCTCCCTGGCCTGGAGTCAGGGGCAACTGTTGACAGCACCCTTCTATGCCTTTTCTGTCCCAGCCCGCACAGACCTACTGGCTGCCCTGTCCCCGGCCCAGCTCTGTCCTGCCCCGGGATCCTGGTGTCAGGCCTCTCAGCTTCATTCTGCCACATAGGAAGCTGCATACAGAGCAGCCTCCTCGCATCACCTCCTGGAGCAAGGAGGGAGGAGGAGTCGTGAGAGGCGGCTGGTGCTGAGAATACCTGGCCCCTCTTCTCCCAGAAATCTGGGGTGCTCTACCCCGTCAAGGGGCCCTAACTTGATGGAAAGAAGTCTGTCTCCCATCTCCTCCCTGGGTGCCACGCCTCTGCCACAGCCCCAGTCCCTCGGGTCAAACTGCCAGGGCTTCAGAGGAGTGCACACTGGGTGTGCAGTGGGCAGGTCCAGGCGTTCCAGTGAGGCCACAGCGCCCAAGGCCACTGCCGGCCATACCCGCGGGCAGCGTCAGGGACCCGGGCGATGGACTTGGAGAACTTGAGAGTGCGCCCCGGAGCAAATTGCCCCCGCCAGCCCCAGCCCCGGGGTACCGCTGCGGTCGGACCACGCGCCCCTTCCTGTCAGTTGCGGCACATAGGCGCTACTCACAGTGGAAGGCTGTACTGCGACGGGCACTGCGGGCACCCAGGCGCAGCAGGGTGCGCAGCACTCGGCTGTCGGCTCCACTCTCCCGGCGCTCCGGGCGCCTTCCAGCCCATCCGCCTGCCCGCCCAGCTGTGCAGGAGCCCAGGGGCGGAGCGCCCAGCCCTGTCCCAGGCGCTGGTTGGAGGCGCGCCCAGCGGCCCAGGACGGGGCTCGGGGCGCCCCCTGCTGGGAACCCCTCGGGACAGACCCATGGTGAGGGCCTAGAGCCTTGCTGCCCTGTCTGGCCGGTCACCTCCAGAGCTCTGGTGAGACCCTCTAGGCGCCCTTACTCGCTCTACTGCTCACGTGCTTTGCGGCCTTGGGCAAGTCAGCTTAACCTCTCTAAGTCTTGCCTGGAAATCGATTAGGCGTGATATAGCCTGGCACAATCGCTCAGAAAACGGATTTCTTTGCACACCCCTCCTTCTGCTCCCCCCAGCAAACACAAGCACGCGCAGGCACACACACACCGTGAGAGAGGAAGTCTTACTAGGGAATAGGCTGCTTCCTCCCTGCCACCCAACAGGCTTCCTGACACGGCACATATTGTGGGAACCTCACCACTGCGGTTCACAGCGGGAAGGGGGCTGTGATGGGGAAGGACAGTCTCCTCCTCTCCACCACTCCCCAGCTGGGGAGCAGCCTGGCCTGGCCTGCCATCCAGTGCCCCGGGTGCTGGAATAGTTAGTGAGCGAAGCCCCTTATGGCCATCAAGCCTTCCCTAAAGGACTTGGGAATGGACTCCTCCTCTCTTCCTTACCTCAAAATCCCTGGAGGGAAAAAGGGATGAGGAGGGTGGGGAAGGAAGGAGAAACAGAATGTCAGCCAAGTTCAGTGGTCTTAGTTCAAGCCAAGAGATTAGCTAAAGGAAATGGAGGTCCCTTTTCAGAGCTCTCATCCCTCGGCCACCCACGGGGCTTCTCAGGACAGCTGTAGAGTCCTGCGGCTGTGCCCAAAGCCCAGCCCTGCCATTTCCCCCCGTGTAGTTTCGAGCACGGCACCTGAGCTTTTCCTTCATCCATAAGGAAGGGGAAACACCCCTTCTCACATGCCTAATGGGGCTATTGTGCGCTAGAGGACCCTGACCAGAGTCAACAGCCTCCCTGTGCCCTTTAGCCTTTCCCACACTGACGAGTACAGATGAGCCGGCCTCAGGCTGACCAACCCCTCCAAGTCTGGGACAGCCTGCAGAAAGATCCCAGAGCTTCCTTATTTATAAACTTTACAATATCCCAGGACAGTGCAGGCTCTGAGCTTCCTCTGCCAAGAGCCATGCTACCCGGAGTAATTATCCAAGACCAGAGGTGGTCGCTTGCAAAGTCAGCAGGGAGAGGAGGACATCCACTGAGGCTTCACCAGCATAAGGAGATGCTTCATCCTCCACCCACCCTCAAAACACCCGCTCATTTCCAGTTAACTATGAATGCATAACAAACCGCCCCAGCCTTGGAGGCTGAAATGACAATCTGGCTAGGCTCACAAATTCTGAGGGTCAGGACTTCAGACCGTGGACAGCACTCTGCTCCACTGTTCTGGGGCTTCAGCTGAGACTTGAGTGGTTGAACGATGGAATGTTCTGGAGGCTTCCTCATGCACATAGCTAGTGCCTGAGCCATGGTGAATCCAAGGCTGGGCTCGGCTGACACAGCTGCAGCACCTACACGTAGCCTCTCCATCCACTCCCTGCAGAGACCATGCTCAGTACTCAGTGTGCAGCAACCGCATCCCCGTGCCTGAGGCAAAACAGACATGTTTGGATTCGACAGTTGGAAAAATAGTCAAAAAACATTGCAACTGGAAGGGCCATTGTCAATCTTCTCATCCAGCTTACTCATTTTTCAAATGTGGAAACTGAGGCTAGAAAAAAGAAGCCACTTGCCCAAGGCCATCCAGCCAGTGAGAGGTAGAACCAGGCCTCCTCAAGAATCTCAGTTTGGTGCTCTTTCCACTGAATCTGCAAAGTGCAATTGCCTAGGAAGGTACCATCTGGAAATGCATTTTGTGCTTAAGGGCAAAGGAGTTTATCAGACCCTCACTGGAGACCAGCAACAGGACCTTGAGCACTGAACATGGGGCCAACGTAGCAGTGGGCAGAAAAGGGGAGGCCCCAAGGGTGGTGGCAACGAGGACACCTACTCCAGAAGGAAGCCAGGAGAAGGTTCAGGTATTAAGAGCTAAGAATTACGCAACATGTTCCAGTTCCTGCGTGGTTCCCTCAGCTGACCAAACAGAGTCCAAATGCCTCCCTCGGCAGTGAAGGCTCCAGCCCACATGTCCCCATTATGCACACACCTTCTGCCCTCTTGTGCATGCACTTCTAGCTCTGCTGCCAGGTTGGATCATTGGCTGTATCTGCCTCCAAGCCTTTGTTTAAGCTATTCTACTACCACCCTCCTCACCCCATCCTACAAAATGTCCACCAGGGCAGGATTTAACCAGGGCAGGAAAGATGTAACCAAGGCAGACAGTGAAATTCAATGAAGGTGGGGACACCCTAAAGCATACTTTGGTGCCTGGCAAGTTTACAGGACCCAGTAACCTGCTGACAAGTAGGCAGGGCCAGGAGGAAGATGCTGCTTGTGACAGAGGGGGCCTCTGGCACCAGGGATGGCCTAGACAATACATAGTGTAAGGGCCAAGTGCAGAGACCCTGATGCCAGAGGCCTGGATGTGGAACCCAGCATGCAAATTACTGTGTGGTCTGTGGCAAGCATCAGGATCTCTGTGCACCTCATTATCTCCATTGGTCAAGTGGAGCTAAGAATGGCATTTTTCTAGCAGGTTGTTGTGAACATCCACTTAGTGGTGGATATATGTGAAGGACTCCTATCAGTGTCTGGTACATGAAGTGCTCGATGAGTCTTTGCTATGCTTGTTCTTCCTTAAATATCTACTGTGAACTCCTCTGGAGGAGGAAATGGATCTCACCCATTCTTATACCCCACCCAACCTCAGCAAGAGCCAGAGTAGGCTCTTAGCAAGTGTCAAATAAAGTCTGGAAGGCAGGCTTCTGGATGACGCACCTAGTGCTGACTTCTGTCTTAGGCTATCGGGGTAGGCCTGGAGAGGGCACAGGTGGCCCCCCGACCCCCAGCTGGCTTGCCCCCCTGGTGAAAGGCAGTCAGGAAGCCCCCTCCTCCCAAAGGTAGCCTAGTAGCTGGACTTCTCTGCCCTTCCCAGTCCTGTCCACCCTGTTCTGTGCCCTCTTCTCTCCCATTCACAGCCATGCAGGGTCAGGGGTGAGGAGTGAACCTGGCAGCTCTTCCTGCTTCCTGACTCAGGAGGCCCGCTTGCTTCTGTGGCCAGAGGCTGCTGCTTCAACTTCTAGCCCTGTTGTATGCAGCACGGCCTGGACCCTACCACAGGGATGGGACGGGGAAGGGGGGGAGAAAAGACAGAAAGGGGCCAGGGCATGGGAGGCTTTGCCTTTCTTAGGAAGCCCTGGAGAATGGGTATTCTTGGGCACATGTGCACTCACTCACTCTGTAAATAGCCAAGGGCACCTCCTGGGGGTGGTGCAAACTCAGTGCCCAGAAGTGCTACTCCAGAAGACATCATGAGGGGCTTGAGCAGGAGGAGAGGCTTGACTCAAACTTGAAAGAAGAGGACCAGGAGAGTAGGAGGTCAGGGGAGAGAAGGAGTGACCACAGCTGGAACAGCTGGGTGTACAGAAGGCTGGGGATATGAAACCACCTGCCACTTGCTGCCTCGACCCCATTACCAGCACAGGGGTCACTCTGTGGGGTCAGGACCCAGCCATATACTATCACCTTCTGTTTGGGGCAAAGGTTGGTACACAGGCACTGGATGCTTGGCCAAGGCTCCCAAACTATGTCTACCTTTAGGGCTACAGATTCCACCCACCTACTTCTCTAGGCTCAAGAATCAGATAGGCCTATTTATATTGTTTTCAGCCTTTTCTAGGCAAGTCACTTCCCCACTCTGAGCCTCAGTGGCCTCATCTGTGAAATGGGAATAATCATACCTCCCTCAGGGCCAATATGAAAACCAGACAAAATAATTGAGAAAGCGCTGGCACAAATGTCCATTTCTCTTCCAAAACAGATGTTTCCCCCTCCACGACAGCCTGTCGCTTATGCCATACCTCTCCAGCCATTTGTTCTGCCAATTTGTTCTGTCTCTGAAATACTTTCTTCCTTTGTTCTTCATTTATCTAAGGCTCAGCTCAATTCTGACCTCATTCATTTTTCAGACATTTCCTGGTACTCATCGTGGGCCAGGCCCTGAGGGAAGTGAGGCACCAGCCCTGCCCTCTGGGAGCTCAAAGCAAAGCAGAGGAGATATCGTGGGAATATATGCCCAGAACCCCATGTTCTGGAGCCGGGCCAGAAGCTGGGCAGGACCCCAAGGGAGACCCAAGAAAGCCCCAAGGAAGGACAGTTGATCCCTGAGTGACCGGGAGCTAGAGCAGGGAGGATGTTCTGAGGAGAGAACTCTTCTTAGATGTCAAAATCATTTCTGCTCAACTCATGCTGACTTGACCTTCCTGTGTTTGTTAACGGGCGCTTTGAGTGACTCCTGTCATCTTTCTCCACACTTTGCTGATAAAGTAGTTGGACCATCAGAGGCCTTTGGTGGGTCCATAAGGGAAGGATGGGAGGACAGCATTTCCTCTTCATCTTCCTCTGAACACAAAGTTCAGGACCAGACCTGGTCACCCTGCAGGCAGATCCTTCCACACCCCTGGCTGATCCATGACCTCTGTGTAGCTGGCCTGCCCATTCGGGTCACTGATCTGCATGCTGACTGCATCTCAGCTAAGATCATGTCCTGACTCAGTTACAAGCAGCCACATCCAGGAAGACAAAGGCACAGAAGGCCAAGTTCAGCTGTCTGTAGTGACCTCTGCCCCAAACAGGACTGGTCCCTATTCCTTCCCCTCCAGACCTGCTATCCAGGCTAAGGAACTCCAGACTCCCTCAACTTATCCCTTTCAGATTTTCTGGCCTCTCCATCTTGACTTCTTTCATTCCATCCACATAGAATATATTCATTCTTCTACTCATATCAAACCAACATTTATAGAGAATC